TTAGGGAATGTAAATTTCTTAGTATAGTTTAATCTCAATAAAAAGTGGCAGGACAGCCGAATTATAAAAAAAAAAAGTAAATACAAAATAGCCAGAGAACTTCTGCTATAAACTGGGATGTAAGTGGTGAACTTCAGCCCATACATATTAACCAAAGACTAGGTTAGCTGGATTGTGGGTATAGAAGGCTCTAACAAACAATGCATCAAGGATGAATTGATTAACCAAGCCAGTAATCCTAAGAAAATAGGTAAGGATCTGGAACTTCTTGACTGACTAATATATTAGAGATATATTGGTGATACAAGAAGAGTTGTATAACAGAGGATTTAAATGAGTAACACCTGTAGTTGGGTTACAGGTATGGCATTTAGTGTAGAACCTATAATGTAAGTTGTAGGCAGACTACTTCAATTAGACACCAAAAGTGTACATGTGGCTAGTTGTACTTTCTAATGTAAGGAGGCTCATTTGTGACAATAGCTAAGAACCTCCGCACTCATTACTTAAATAAAAACTTTAAAACCAGAGAGGCTAGTTTAAAAAAAAAAAAAAAAAAAAAAAAAAAAAAAAAACAATTATGGCTAAAATTTTAAATTTGACATTAACCACAATAGAATGGCATAAAAGTTGTTATTGTAATCATTTTTCTTTTTAAGCCTTATATAAGCTGATTTAAACAATTGCTAAAAACTTTTGATCCACTGATCTGTTTTGGATGATTTAATTACCAAAATGTTCGTCTCAATGAGGCGATTATAACGAGCTCAAAATTGTTAAAATCTGATCACAGGATCCCGGGATTGTTCAAATTTTGTACAATTTTAATAGCATTATAATATAATCTATACGGCCTCGGGATCTTGTTATTGGATTTTAGCGATTTTGGGCTCGTTAGAATCGTCTCATTGAGACGAATGGCGGTTAAATCATCTAAACGAACCAGTGAATCAAAAGTAAATGTTAAAGATATTTATATGGTAATTCTGAAAAAAATTGTACAAAATTTGGACGATCTCGAGATCCTGTGATCGTTAGAACAGACAAACATTTTGGAAAGTAAATCATCCAAAAAACAGGTCAGTGGATCAAAAGTTATTAGCAATTATCTAAATCAGTCCATATGTTTGTTTATAATAATTGATCAAATCATATTTATCTTTGCACAAAAGAATAAAAATTTTATATCATTTATTGGAGGAATACAGGTGAGAATAAATGATATTCCAATAGATAGATAATAAAATTCAATTGACGTGATTAATATCATTTGGAGCTATATCATTCTTCGAGAACTGAATATTCATTGGAATCTAAATATTCAGTGAGAGCTGAATAACCTAAGCCCAATTCTGGATATTGTAAAGGAGTCTTATTTAAAACCGGTGGCATCCATTCAACATCCACCGGAACAGATGCTCCCAACCAAGTAGCTCGATTCGTATGATCCTTAACCTGTTCTTTGGTCAATGGATGAACGAGTACAGAAAGATCTCCACGATGAAGAAGGAACCACGAGTAAACTCGTGAAAAGTGTTCTTTTGGACACCAAACTTCAAAGGATCCTATATGAAAGTAGAGTAATTCAAGATAATTTCTAATGTAAACTTGTGACAAAATATAAATGGAAACTGCGAATACCCTTTGTTAAAAAAATAAGAATAAAATATTAGATATCTAGAGAATCAGACGAATAGATTTATATCCGCCTATTTGCCAAATTGGACCATAATTATTAGCAGTAATTAACCAATGTCTATAATATCATTTCAATGCTACAGTAATTCTATATACTATACAGAAACCTGAATGTCTTAATACGCAGTTACTACATAGTAACTATGTAGTAACTATATAGTTACTATTAAACTTAATGGTGACTATATGACATTATGCAGTTACCGTGCATTAGGATATTCAAGTTTCTGTAAAGTATCAATCGCTTTTGTAAAATATATGATCCAGCTTCATGATCCGGCGGATATCTTTTGAAATTAGAGACATACCATCGTGTGAGGGCCAACGGGTTGATAATTAACTCTATGAAAAGGAACAGGATGAAAGAACCCTTTCTTGATTAATTCGAGTATCTTTTCACGTAATGCAACTGCAGCTTCACAGTCTTTTTTATTATTCTAAATTACATTATTACGTACAAATGTTTAATATTTTAGAACATGAATTTGTAACTTTGAATATCGATCGTTAATGCTTACCTGAAAGAAATATACATGGAAATGATATTCTTTAATTTCTTCAAGTTCTTCCTCTAATGGCTCCCTTTTCGGTGCCACATTAGGTTCATTGTCTTTTATCAACATTATGATTAACTTGCAATAGTTTTTTCAATGAAAGTGTAGAATGTAAAAAAGATTATTAGTATTGTGTGATTTATAGTTTGTATATATTGTGTGATTTTATAGTTTCTGTAATCTAGGAAATCTATGGTTTCACACTTTACTGACCCTGTGATGGTTGCTTATTCATCATAATTTAATTCGATATATCAGTGGTCCAGATCGGATAACTTAGTCAATTTGGTTAGTCAACTTGATTAATGATCAAATAAAGATTTTTATTTAAAATGATTACGTACTACGTTGAATTACTTACTTTCTTTGGGTTGTTACACCAGAACTAACTCTCTAAAAGTATGGAATAACTGGGTCGATAATAATTGAATGCATCATGTAAGTCCTTATTAATATATACAGTCAACTCTTTCTATACCGAACCCTAGATTCTGGCCAAAAAGAGTTCGTTATATAGAATTACTAAGGTTTCTTAAGAGCTGTAGCTCTTGTTATACCGAACTAATATTAAAATTTAAAAATTTTGAGCTCGTTATATCCAGAGTTCGTTATAAAAAGGGTCGTTATATCCAGAGTTGACTGTATCTATCTTTATACAAATATGTTTGGTTCTATTAGATGATCGACCACCCCACCGTAACGGTAATGTTTGGTACCATTAATTACGTACGTACGTATGTGTTTATATGCCAATAAGTCAATTTTAGCGTTAAGGATTTAATAATGATTTGCAATTATGAAAGAGGCAAACAACTAAATGATATGAAGATACAAATAGTGATACAAATCGAAAATCGAATTAGTCGATTAGTTGTAAAGTTGACAACTAATCGATTTGAATTTTACAAATCAATTATTGCGGTTTGCAAAATTATGTGAAATTTGAAGACGATTTCCGATTACTGATTTCCGATTTCTTCAACATTTTTTTTTGACTTTTAGATTAGACAAAATTTGTGCAGTTATTATTTTGTAAAAATTTTATTATTTTTATGGAAATAA